GGGAGGAGAGTTCATTGAGGGGGAAATGATCGGAGGCGGCTTGTCCCTTTGAGATCAATGAATCATTTTTTGTGCGTTGTAAGGTACAATTAAAACGCGGCTAGTATAAAATGATATCTCAACAAATACGCGCGTATAAATGGCACACGGGAGACACAAGTAAGATCTGTGAAAAAGAAGAAACAAAGAGGAATAAACTTCTCGTGCTCTGATTGACTCTGTAGCTTTTGTCACATAAAAAGATCTCCGCTTCTAGAGTAACTTCCAAATTTGTTATAAACATACGTCCTCCTACAGCGCATGGCACAATATGTCCTGTTGTTGACTGCAACCACATTATAGACAACAATTCCAGATTGCTAACAGTACGGGTATTTAATACGAAGAGGTGCTTTTTTCTCAACCGCTTGGCCCATCGCCTGCGGTCCAAAGTTGCAAATCGGGTCGACCCATCCCCGACTGTCTGTACATCCTCATCCTCAGCACGAGCAATAATTCGGAAACAGGTATTTAGAAAAGAAAAAATTAAGAGAAAGTCGCCTGTCAGCCCATGCTTTCCACTGGAAATGTAGCTATTGTTTTTTCCAGACATGATTATGCTTAAATAAAAAAGACAGATTTTTTTTCCATTCCCTTGTGCAATAAAAATGGTAAAATACATGAAATCATGTCGCATAATAATTGCGCGTAATTTTTACGCGCAAAATTGCCCGTATTTTATTTTTTTTTTTCGTGCGCCTGGGTTGCTCCAAAATCCCAGAAGTTGCTTAAATAAAGTCAAATAAGCCACAGCGCGACCCGTCGAATTTAGTCCCAAACGAAGGAGGCCTTTGATGACAATTGATGAAATTAATTCTTTTTTGCTTTTGTTTTCAGTGTATTAAAATGACATTTCGGCTGTATATAGAAATTCCTTTTGTTTATGACATTCTTGTGCACGTAAACAAATTTCAACTTTTGCAAGACTAAAATTAAAATGAAGTGAAAAAGCAATTTCTGGAGGTTATCCAAAATGACAGCCTGCTTTAGTATTAATATGTATAGTATGAATTTGACTCTTGACTTCATTACGGAACAGGCCCAGTCAACTGTCCCTTTTTAAAAATAATTACGCCACTGTAAATTATTAGCCACCGTTTATTTTTTACAGGTTATCAATTTGACTTATGATGAAGAAAGAAGCGGAGGGGAAACCTTTCTATTTTAGCTTCAGACAGAGACGCTCTTTGGATCAGTGCTTCTCCTATCGTATTTAATTTGTTTGTTATGGACAAAGGTAGTCATTTAGATGTATTTTGTTTGTATTGTAAAGCTCAGTTCTCCGTGGCACCGAAAAACGATGTTCTCAAGGTTCTCTTGAAAGCTGTTTCAAAGCTGACTACAGCACTTTTGGACTATTGCGCATTTAAGGCATCAAATGCTTTGAGTGTTATGTGCAAATCACTGCGATAAATACAATATAACAACAATGACAGGAAAATTATTTGATTACTTTACTTTGCTGTTGCACATACATTCGCATCTTTTATTGTAAACAATTTCCAGCTAAAATAAATAGGATGTCACTGGCGCGGGTAGATATGGAATTTAGATTGAGATCACAATGAGCGCTCTAAACCCCAATGGAAAATGGCAGAAATGACTGAGGTGCCCTCACACTGAAACAGATTTTTATTTTAACACAAAATGTCCACCTTTCACCTGAGAGAGTTAGACCCCACGCTCTCATGTTGATTGCGGAACAAGAACAAAGGCGCGTCCTCTGTTTTTGCGCGTGGCGCACAGAAAAGTGCTGAGTACATTCATTAGGCTTACGTTTTTGAAATGATTCCGTGCGCGCTAATAATCTCGAGCACAAGCAGACAGAGGAAGATGGGCGCTGCCGCGCGGTGGATGCTATTGGTCTGCGTACGCTGCACTGCAGCACGCGGCCGCGGCAGACTCCATTGGTTGGCTTGTATCTGGGCAAGAAGCGAGTTCTCGCTTTCATGTGAGGGCAGCCCTGGCACAAAGACTGCATTTCTCTTGAGCGAGAATGGCAGGGTGTGTTTAAGCAAACTGTTTACGCATCAAATCACGACTCATACGCAGTAGCCATTACAGACAAAGAAGAGATTCATCTTTAAGTTTTAACCGTTTAGTGTATGGTTACAAATGGTTTGAGCTCCTAGAGATGAATCTGTGCGTTTGGCCGGGGTCAGGCCTGTCCTCCTTGTAGCTCAACCTGCTTTTTATGATTTCCCTGAAGATATGGAGGAGTTCCAGGTCCAGTCATGAAGACATCAAGGTTTCGTTGTTTGGCCTAAAGACCATCATTTGTGCAGGCCATCAGTGACTCTATTTAGGGTTGTTCAACGGCATGATATGAACGCGCACGATCGCAGTCCCACCACATTCACTTCTTTGTGCTGTTTATGAGGCATCGCGTGACCCTCAGTCCCAGCCTGTCTCGTTCGCGCCCTAACGCACGTTTTGGTTGATATTACTCATAATTATAAGGAGACTGAAAATTGCCTACGGACGCCGAGTTCGCAAACACTGCGCAACAATTTCACGCAGAGCCTGGATCTATACATCTCCAGAGGCCCATGACTGGATTCTAATGAGATGATCCATACGCTAAAACCTCTCGTTTTGTTATTGGTCTATTTGTTATCTACTCCGTTCTATCTCGACTCCCTAAATTAACTTTTGCCAGAACTCATGGTCCTGGACGAACACCTGAACATCTCATACAGATCGGGATTGGAGGCCTATGGGTCTATTATGGAATTTTCACTTTGTGTGTCCTATAGCAGGACACCACCCGATGTGCTTCTGAGCTTCTTAACAGACGTTGAAAACTGATAACTATTTTGTCTTTCTGTCTGTTAGACAGGTCAATATAAAATTGAGACAAGATTTGGTTTCTCTAGGTTCCCCAGGGGGCAATTTATTTAGTCCATGTAATGCATGAAAATGCGTTTTTCTAAACCATATGCTTGTATGAAAGCGTGTAGAATCGCATTGCAGTGTCTTGGCGAGATCTGCCCAAAATAGACGCGGACTAAGCTGCACTTGTAACTGGACTTTCGTGTCTTGTCTTTGGGATTGAGCGCATTTGACATGAAAAACTGCTCACGCAGCATGATTGATATCAAAGTTTGACCAGAATTATGAGTACTATAATAAACCATTATACTTTAGTTTACTTTTAAAGATAGTTTTTGGTTTGTTTCTCATAAAATCGATCCTGCCAAATGGAGCTTGTGATTTGGTGATGAGCGACAAAAAAAGGTAGATTTACGCTGATTTTACCGACGATAAATAGACAATTTGGTGGCAACACACTCTGTCTTTAGTTAGGCTACATCTCCCGTATCTTGTGCTTTAATGGTCCTAGTGTTTCTCAAACTGTGGTACTCGTAGCAACTCAAGGCCCCTCTGCAGTTTGGTCTCAAACAAAACAGATAGCCTACTCAATCTATAAATCTATTTAGACGTGAGTTAGTGTAATTTTAGACACGATTTAATCTAATGTTAGACAATATTTTTCCCTAATTTAATTAGAGCTGATGTTTAGATCCAGTGGCAATGGAAAGTCAAATATTATTTTTGATTGATGGTACATTCAGCAACAACATTGTGTGCCTTATTTTATTAGCCTCAAATGTTTAAATACGTACTTGTATATTTGTGACAAAATATCTTTTATGACCGTGACAACTAAGGAATATCACGTGGGCCTGGACATTTTGGCAGATTTTTAGGGCTATTAGGCTTTGTGGCGTCTGCATGCGTGTAGGCCTATAAACAATGCACACAGCTTTCTTTGTTGAAAGTCTAATAATCTCATTAGTTTACCTACAATATAGAAGAATATACTTTATTGCCCATCTCTGTCGAGTCTATTGTGATTGGTGCACTGTTCATGTTGGCTAGTGTTGCTCTCCACATGCAGCATTGGTGTGACCTGGCTGTCACTACAGCCCACACGTACAAATAGCAGGTCTGAAAATAACCCTGAGAGGCTCTGTAATAATCCTCACCGCCTCCACTGCCACAAATAGTGTCTCACTCTCACTGCTCCAAACCAGATCAGGCTTTTGCTACTTTACATACTTTTCTATCATGGATATCTTACAACACAATAAAAATCTTAAGTATAACGTGTCTAAAAATGAAACCAAACACTGACAAATTACATTGGGCCTATAAAAGTGAAAAGTAAAAGTATTTTCAAACTAAATTTAAGAAACTTATAAAAGGCCTTATAAAAGTTCAGTCATGTGGTGCATATGGTAGGCCTATAGGGTGATGTAGGGTAACAATTCAAACACTAAACAAGTACAATAATGCTTGTAATGGCTTTGACATAGAGATTTCACTGGAAATTTAGCCTGTATATACTGGCCAGCAGATCACATTTTAACACCATTTATCAGAAGTCAATCAAACTCCTTAAAATACACACACAGACAGATACTTGCAAAGACATTTTATTATTGCAAAATGCAGAGGATCCCTTCAAAGACCAGTATTAGTTCATTCTGGTAGAGCATGTTAGAATACAACAGTGAACGCTTTTCAGAAGAAATCAACAAACTGAAGAGGAAGTATGACCCGTGGTTGCAAAGCTGTTAGTGACAGTTAAAGGGGCACTATGCAATTTGTTACAGTAGGTGCAGAAGGTGTTATTATTTTGCCTTGAATATTTCACAAAATGTCATAAAACATAACAATTTTTATGGAGACATGCCGGTGACAACTCCAAGCCAAGTATTTACACTACTAGTCAAAAGTATCATCAAAAATACAGTGAATTAGACAGCCATCAGATATATGGAATTATGTAGTTAAGAAAAAAAAGTTAGTATGTCAACTAAACTTTTTTATATTTTACATTCAAATCCTCAAAGTTGCCACCCTTTGCCTTGTTCACAGCACTGCTATATCCCTTAGCCTTTTCTCAATGCTTTGGTAGGGTGAAGAAATGCCAAGTACAAGCCAGTTTTTTTTTGTTGTTACGTTTCATACGTGTCCATTCATTTGATCCGCAATGCAAATATGGAAATAAATGGAAATGAAGAAAAAAATACATATATATTGAAAAAGTGTGTTTAAACTTTTGACTGGTAGTGTAGATTTCTTGGCAATAAAACCACATATAATTGAGTACATAAAATATAATACATAAGTAGATTTGTTTATACAATACTGTGGAAAATTCCAGGCAAAGTAAACATTTTCATGAGTTCAACAGATGACCAACCATCCACCAGAAGTTACATAGCACACCTTTAAATAAGGCAAGTTCATCATCCTATCTGCAGACTCTTGATTTGACTTGATTTTGTTGTACACATTTGATTGTTACACACTTATATATCAGACGATGCTGATAAAAAAAAAAAAAAAAAAAAAGTTGTGAAGTTTTTCTCACTTTGACCACAGAACAAAGTGACTCATTTAGGGACTTTTCTCAGTAGATAGATGGCTTTCAAAACCTTTCTCATTTCTTAGCTTAACGTTTATTAAATTATGATAAAGAAACCTCATATATTTAAGTTGTAATGTATTACAAGTCATGATTTAAACAACAGCAAATAGAATAAATAGTATGTTTGGAAGTGACTTGTGCTATAAAGAATCAAACTTAAAGATTCAAACTATGCCTGCAGATGTAAATTAAAACTTTTTTTTTTTTTTTTAAGCAAAAACTAGACTTTGCCATCCACCAACATTGCAAATTAACATCAACTTAACATTTACTGACACAGCAGCATCCAATCCCATATTTCACACTATAACACAGTGTCATATACCATGTTTCAATATATTTAATTTTTTCTTTTACAAAATTGACATCTGAGAGGAATATATAAACCAAACATAGAAAAGTTAAAGTATGTACAGGTATAAGTGCAACTTTGTCTAAGATTCTGTACTTTTAAGTTGAGCTTCATTTGTAGGAAATGAAATCTGATACTGCATGAGATAGACTTCCAGAAATAACACCAGGCAGAGCTTATGAGAAATACTATGCAAATTATTCCAAAACAAAGAGTTTAGTCTGGTATCCAAACTTTACAAAAAGTTCATTTGTACATTCAAGCATCAATATGCAAGTACTGTGCCAGGGAATATATTTGCATTCTTTACAATTTCTTATATTTTTGCATTGATTGAGAGAAACCAGAGACATCAAATCAAATAGAAATGCTTTTAGGTGCCTATATTATCAATATTAAATACATGTATTATTTGATTAGATTAATATACAATGGGAAAAAATCTATTAATACCTACTTTTGGTCTATGTGCAGAAGTTATTTTCTGCTATGTTAAAGCAGCAAAGTAAAAATTAACAACAAAAACAACAACAACAAAAAAAAAAAAAAACAGCTAAGCAACTGTTAAGTCTGGGAGACCAGAAAGCTATAACGATACACATCTGAAAACGATTTGGACCAAAACTTAATTCATGAAGATGATAGAACAAATATGCAAAAATACAAGAAACCCAGAAGGCAAATACTTTTCCCTTCACATAGATGTTCTGTACGGTGTCAGCATGGTTAGCTACGCTGTTACATACTCCTTAAACGTCACGGTGAGGCAGTTCGTGGTGATATCTGTGATCACTATGTTTCCGAGAAAGGGCTGGAAGGAGGGAAAGTGCACGTCTTTCCTCTTGTTGTGATCGCTCGGAGATAAAGGCCTGATATTCTCTTCTTCTGTTTGTTGTGCGATGCTTTGCGGTTGGGTTTCTGTCTCTGCCGGCGATTGTGTTACAGTCAACTCTACCCCCTCAGGTTGTGCTGCCTCAACAAGGTCCAATGTTGATAGTCTAGACTTAGATTTGTCCATACTCAAGTCCATTGGTTCATCTTGGTATCCACAATCAGGTAACAAGTGACTGTCAGGGAGATTTTGGGCTGCGTTTTGGGGAGATGGGGAAGGTATAAGAGTCTGCAAATACCTCTTTCTAGGTCCATTTTGCTCAGTGTTCGTTTCAGAAAGATGGCGTTTCAATGTTGTAGGTGCGCTTTGGCTGACTTCTTTCTCGGCCGTATCCGAAGGCGAGGAGACTGGATTAGTCGTGGTTGTCAACCCTAAAGCCTCATCTGCAAGAAGCTGGCCACGACCTTTGACCCCGACATGTTTATCCTGCTCGGTCACAGTTTGCTCTGTTTTGGAAATCTCCTCCTTTCTCTCTTTTAGGCAATCACCGTGGTCAAGCCCTAGAGTCGATTTCTCTTTGGATAATTTTGTAAATCCATTCACGAGTCCGAGCTTTTTCACAAGTTTCATTTTCTCGATGTGGTTTTCCGTGCTGCTGTCTGGTACTTGCTTTTCCGAGTCACTTTTCATTTTGTCCGATTTTATGCTGTTTTCCATGTATTTGCTCATAACGATCACAATCCTTCCATTTTTATTTTTGTTTTTGACAATTTTTAGTTTCCCATTGCGGACGTTGTTGCTTTGCGTTACAAAGTCCTCCTTTGGTTTCACCTTTTCAGTGTCCTTGTGTCCGTTTAAATCCGCTGGAAGCTTTTTTAACTCCATTGTAATATCCTTTATTTTAGTCAAGCACCCAGAATCTTTATCTCGTACCCATTTTTGCTGCAGGACGGGGGGAAGATTGTACCCCTTATTGGATAAATCCGGGACTGTCACTTCCTTGGGTTTGGCAAAAACAGTCTCGTGACTTTTGATCTCCGGTTGGTAGTGGTGGTGCTTCTTGCTGTTCAGTTGATAGTAAAATTTCTTGCCGTTTGATTGGTCTGTCTCGCAGTCCTGGGACAGTGGCTGGTATGGATGGTGTTTTTTGCCGTTTAGCTGGTACTGCATCTGGATAGAGTTGGACTTCTGATGGCTCTCCTCTTCGTGGATATCAGCCAAAATCTTGGATCTCCTAGCGTATGAGGGGACCTATGAAAACACAGAAAGGAATAGTTAATGATACTGACAGACAAATACACTGACAAAAGTACATCGCAAAGTCTACATAAAATGGGTAAATATTCAATTGGCATTATAAAGGTCTAAAACTGTGGTATGGTGTCACTAATGGTGGGTACAATAAGATGGTATTTTGAAGATCTGGGTTAAGTCTTGGTTTAAGTCCTGGTTTAAAGGTGCTCTTTATAACTTTCTTGATGGGGATCTACAGGGAATGTTCCACAGTCGTGTATTAAACTTGCATTTTAAGGTGTTTGTATGGCACAGAAACACCTCAAAAACACATATTCTTACTGTTAGTGGGCTTGCCTATCACAGATGTGACCAGTAATTGCATGTCTCCATGGAGCTAGATTAGTTTAGGTACTGTACTCTCCACCAAAAAAGTTACTGCACATTTATGCCCTGGTTTAAAAGTAGATTTTGCTTGAGTCCTGGATCTCTACAGGTGGATGATATTATTTAATGATGGCATTTTTGCTTGAATCATTTTTTTGTTTTAGAAAACTTTTAGTCATTTCTTACTTGATTTATTACAATAACTGAAAATGTCTAGACTCAAAAGTACATCAAAACATTTGATGATTCTCAGACATATAACTAAAACCACTAGTAAATCTGAAGCTAATTTTTGATCATTTCTAAATAAATTAAATACATTTCTAACCAAATAATTCTAAACGCATAAGCCATTTGAAAATAGGACCAAAATGTTGCTAATAAAGACCTACAATCCCATTAGAATACACTATGAATAATTTCAGTAGTGCAAAAGGTACAGCACAAAGGGTGAGCCATGAAAAATGAACAGATTTGTCTTGTGATTGAGTCGGGCTGTCGGAGGCTGTAAAGATGTGTCTAGACAACAACAAAATGCCATGTTTCAAATGAGGCCCACGAGGATGTGCTCAGAAACCGTGTGTGGAATGTGTGAACAAGTTTGTCTCCAGTGTACTCTTATTGACACCAGGGGAAGTCCGGGTTTTGGCAAGTAACATGAGGAGCTTTTAACATATTTGTTTCCAAAATGTCCGTGACAATTGGGCTTTTCACAGTTAAAAAGCTAAAAATAGATTGTGGCATCATATTCAAAGCATTATGGGATACCCCCTTAGGCAAAACAACCTCTTCATGTCCAGTCCTAACATTATGTAACATTAAATTTTGATACACAATTTCAGGTTTTGCAGTGTGTTAAAATGTAGAATACATGGTTTGTGTGTAATCATCTGTAAAGTGGGCTATTTTGGCCACACAAATTTTAAAATTATTTTACATTTTTGCCATTATTTCAGCACTGCTTTTTTGAATTACTGCTTCTCAAGATGTAACTCTCCAATGCTAATCCTAATTTTTATCCAAGCCAAATGTAAACACATGGAATTTTTAGTATGTGAGTACAAACTGTTGTCCTATTCCAATATAAAACCAATAAATCCATCTAGTATATGTTTAATGTGTTTTGAATATTTGACAAATTATTGAGATGAACCAAAGTTGTAACCTGCTGTATTTAGTAGAGATGTAACGATATCCAAATCTCACAATACAACATTTAATGTGAATTAAATTGTGAATTTTTGGTACTGGTACTACCCTTTGTAGTACTGTTAAAATGCAATGAATTAAGATTCAAAAATGCTAGTTTTTCTTTTCTAGTTATTTCTTCATGTAGTCTGCACTGAGACAAAGGATTATGGTATATGTAGTTGACTGTTTTTTAGCTATTGCTGCTCCAAAATAATGAATTTAAGCAAAGAGACTTGTAAATTGATATACTGTGACGGCCAACAATATTACTGTGAGACTTTTGACAATATGGCATCTTGATATTTCAGTTATTGTTACATCCCTATTTAGCACCAAGATCTTGGGGCCACCCTGCACACAGCCCATGGTCCTGGGATTCTCTCTGAGCCCAAACCCACACCACGACATTTCAAAGTGTCTCCTGCTGCTCTGACCTCAGCTCAGAGGAATGTCACTGTGGCTTTGTGTCCCCTCACTGACTTTATCCCATGTGTTACACCAACACCCTCCTGAGGGGAACAAACACCTCCCTCTGGGGTTCCCCCCCTTTTTCAACACTGGATGGATACGTTTATATTTGGCAACTGAAAGATTTGAGAGATACCTGATCTGTTTGCAGTATGACATTTTATTGACAATTCAGGACTAAACTGTTTCTTGTTGCCTGTATTTTCAATCACCACATCAAGTACTGTAATTGGCTTATTATTATAAAATTATACTTTTGCCATTAGATGCTGTTTCTGAATGACAAAACAAGTTAAATTGTCTTCTATAGTATTTGCAAATAACATCTTTCACTATGCACAATACAACTTTTGGCTAATTAAAAAGGTATCTGAGGCTTCACAATGTGTCTTTAAACTTATCTATCTCCACAGATACAATCAGGCGATGCCACCAGCGCCATGTTACAGGTCAAGTCTGTGGAGATTGGTGTCCTCGCCCCCAATACAAATCGAGGATTTTAAATATAATTTTGAGCAATAAAACACCCAATTGAATAAATGCATGCAAGAGAAATTTAATAACATACTGTGGAAAATCTCAAGGAGTTTAAATGGCCCTAAAATTTCTGGCTAATATATCCAGTTATGCTTCAGAAATATTTTCCATTTCTAGTTTTATTAATATGTTTGAGTCCTAACCCTCACCTGAACCAGGAGGTGCTTGGGCTTGGGTCCTCTCTTGCGGTAGCCCAAGAGCTGCTCCTGTCGCTCCCTGTGGGAAAAGAAAACAGCAGCCAATTAGTGCAGTGTCTCCAGAGATGAGTGTGCGTCGCCTGGCAACAACACGTCACGGGTATCCTCCTCTGGTGCAGGCGCAGACATCAACAGCTCAGAAAGGGAGGAGAAGAGGGGGAGAGGGTAATACAAAATGTGAAGATACCTGTCCTTTTAGGTTCACTCTAAAAACAGCTATAGATTTAAAGATCATCTTTATCGCAACACAGGTCTGTCCAACTTGTTTACAAGTTTTTTTAACACAGGCGTCGTACTGGGGCGGGGGTAAAGGTTACCGTTTACCCAGGGCAGAGCAGGGAGGGGACGTTCACAAAATCTCCAGTATGTTATTTTCATGTAGAGAACAGGTAATATGGGCCCACCAAGATGATTTGTACCCATGAACCAGGATTTGTACTAGATCCCTGTATCAACAAATAACTAATACAGATAATAGATTTTCTTATTTATTTTACAGGTACAAGTACAAACACATGACATACATGTTTTAATTGACATTGTGGTCATAAATACTAGTATGTCCTACAACCAAATACTGTGTGCTTCTGCTCAACTTATGTTTCATATTTGTAGAACCTTTGTAGCATACATTTCAATTTTTAGATGGAAAACCTTAACAGCTATTATTATATTCATTCTTCTCCCCATAACTGACCATAATAGCATTCGTTAACAAAACAAAACACTGCAATTTCAGTGCATTGTGCAAATTGCAGAGAAAGAGGAAGTTGCCAGCTACTAAGTATCGGTCTCTTGTGGGAGGATCAAGTTGGAGATTTCACTTCGAAAATAAACCAATTTCCTGAACCTCATCAGATCTAATCATCACCAAAAAGGTTACATTAACATTTCTCCTAGTCACACCTTTTAATTAAAGTGCATATGAAAGGTTAGACCACTCATTTCACTAAATCATAGTTAACATCATTATATTTGAGATTCTACAAAAAATTACTTCGTTTTCTTTTAGTCTGAAAAATGCCATCATTGAGCATACATTTTCTCTGAATTTTGATGGTATTTTTTTGTTGTTGATTAACATCTGAGTATTCAGTTTTAGAACTCACTCATACTTCCTATATTTTTGTACTTTTCTTCAACTTTTTTTCCACAGACTACTGATGTAAAACTGTGATAAATATTTAGTTCAAGTACTATCCCACCAAACCAAGTAGTACTAAGAAAAACATAAAAATTTGTCATACACATATTAACTTTCACTCCTGCTTATTTATAACCACAACACATACATATACATTAGATTTTTATTTGAATAGTTTGTGTTATATGACGTAATTCCACTAAAGGTACTTGTCTAATAAAAATAGAATAAATATTATAAAGTATTATGATTTTTGAGCTATAAGAAATCATCTTGTGACCCCCAAGGTAGAACCAATGTTTTACACCACTCACATTTTAACATAACTTTTCTAAGCTGTCTTGGCCCTGGGCATTTCACACTTAAAGCAGTAACTCAATACCATAGACAGAATGATGTCAAAGCCCCTCCCCCTCCTCCCCTCTCTCACATCTAATTACAATGACGACTTGGTGTATTTTCATAGCCTGGCATTCAGACAATTTGGCTCCCCGGAGAGACTGGCAATTAGTTTCAATAAAGTCGCCCCTTCAGAGAGCAAGGTAACAGCTGAAACAAGCACGGGCCTATGTGAGTGTTTTGGTTGGTTGTGTGGTTTATTTACTTTGAGGAGAGAGTGACCAAGGACAGAAGCATGCTCGTGATAAGTGGGTATGTCTATAAATGATCTAGTTGACTAATACATGTTAATGGTGAGAATCTTAAAGGTGAACTGTGTAACTTCTTCTGCTAGTCTCAATGGAGATGCTATTGCTCTGACTGGACTGACAATATGACATTAAACCTATATCTTCTACTATTCATTTCCAGTTGTTTTTATTACGAAAAAGTGGCTTGCTAAACACGTATTCTTCCTTACTGTGAGCGGGGTTGCTTATCCACACATCTCACACAGTTTGGTCTAGATATGTTTATTGCCCTACTGTAAAACTTTCCAAGAAAAGCAAAGAGTCTCCATGAAGGCAAAGCACTTCATGAATCCCCACCAGGAAAGTTAAAAGCAAAAATAAGTAAATTAAATTATGTCCAACTCCAGTAAACTGTTAAGTGTTTTTATGAGTAACTATTCATCATTCAGAAATGTTTGATTTCATACAGTTGTTCAGCAGAGAAATGGCAATGTGATTGTTGTTTGGCCATATGGTGTCAGTAATTGAGAATAGTCAAAAAATGTTGATGTTTTTTTTCACAATAATTGTTAGTAACATGCAAAAAAAAATCTAAATGTTAGCACAATTGTGAAGTACTCAGAACAAGTACACAGGTACCTTCATAGCAATACAACATTACGTTCAGTAAGGATGCTTGCATGTCTAAAAGCTTGGCGGGCAATCTTAATGGGGTAATTTGAGTTTATTGATGTCCTTTTCAACATCCTTGTCAAACTCACAGCCTATAAAGCCCTGCCTCATAAATAAACACTGGGATGACATTGACAAATATCATAATGGGCTGTACGCAGGAACAAAATTTAAATTGATAAAAATATGTAATAAAACAATAAATCAAAGAATTTATAAAATAATATACCTGTCTTACATTTTCTCAAAGCTAGTTGTTGCTTATGCTAAAGGTCCTATATTAGGCAAAATTGACTCTAGTGAGCTTTAACCCTTGTTATAATATTGTTACCATATCAAAAACATACCTGGAGTTGTGTTTTGTTTCATTCAGACATGTTTGAGCCATCCTGCATTTAAATGATGTCTACATTTCCAAAGCTCAAAATTCTCTGTTTCACCTTAAGAAGTCATGAAGTGGTAGTTTTGAAGTTAACAGCTACAGTTTCCCTTTTCTTCCATCGAGATTGGGAATTCTAGGGAAGGCATAAGGAGTTTTAAAAACATCACAAGGCGGAACAGTGTTTTCTGTTTGTGAGAAGTACTCAGACTAAATATGCAGGGTTTCTGTGTTAAATGAATTAAACACAACACAAGTCCAGGTATGTTTGTGATGAGGAAACAACATTATAACACATAGATCAGAAAATAGCATAATATGGCCCCTTGATATCAAAACAGTAGAAAAGAAACCACCCAACACTGGCTCAAACAAGCTACAAGCAACAATAATTTAGTAAGATATATTTTAAACCTATGGAACTTCTGCATATTATTGTTCTTAATAGGCCTAATTACTACATAAAGTGACTGACTACTCCTCTAATATTGCAGCCCCCAAGTTTAGTATTTCATAACACATAATTGCCTATAATGTGTTCGTAATGGGTTTATCCAATGGCCAATTAGCCAAACAAGAGCTTGTGTGGGCATTCAGGTAGAGAGAGGTGTAATAGGTAGAAAACACAGGTGCATCATGTGACCAACACCTGATCACTCTGTGCTGACAAATACCAGATCATATGACCCGAAGGAAACAGTAGAAACCGTAGAGAGGGAGTCTGTGTTGACGATAGCGACCCAAGTTTAACCCTGAACTAACAACAACAGCCTTGATCCCAAAGAGTCAGTGTGAGATTTGACAGACACTGAATGAATGGGTCTAAGGTTTAACCCAACCCAAGATGTTGTCAGGTTAGTATCAACTGTCTAAAGGAAGTGAAGAGGTCATCTCCTCCAAGGACTAAAAGGAAAACATGTGTTGTTTTAGAAAGTTCAAGGTGCGAAAGACATGTTCAATGCATTGGTTTTGGAGTGATGAGAAATGAGGACTGTTGCCATAGTGATTAATAATAAAACTCAACATTATAATCATTGGAATAGGGAAAAAGTCCAAAATATTGTATGAAACAGTAAGCTGGAAATCCATGGACAGGAGTTAGGCAGCAATGAAAATTGATTAAGGTTACTTAATATTATAGATGTAAAACAGGTTTTACTTGAATTTAAATAATAGCTTGAAACAATGTTTGTCAATGTTTGTGGATGTTGCCATCTTATCACAACATAACAAAGGTGTCCTAACAACTGTACACTAAGAACAATTTAATAAAATTTATAACCATTTTGTCACAATAAGGAAGTATGTTCTCTCAACTAAACATCAGGTATTTGAAGCATGTGAAGCAGTGTATATATACTAGGACATATTTGGACCAGTTTGGTGAGTTACTGTATTCCATTTACAGAAAAGAAGACACTCGATGCGGGTTTATTACCTGTCTTGAAATGCATCCAGGAGTCTAGGGTCCAGAATGTTTTCTTCCGGCTCCCACGTGTTGTATCTGAAACATGAACAATCCAAAATAAGGACACGCTGATCTAGCAAAAGTGGGCTGTTATGCTACATTTGTACCAATGTTTAACAGAGCTGGTGAGTTTATCTACTCTACAACTCATATTTGCTTTTAATGTTAAGTAAACATAATGCTAGGGCACTTGCTGTCCCCGGGGGCGCACGTGTAATGTAAGCATAGCAACTTTTACGCACGGCTGTAGCTCAGACCATTGGATCGTTCCCAGTTCATCTGTAGATATATGCGCATTTCTAGCACACAGTCTTCAATTATGGCCGTGTCTGTTTCTTAATTGGCACACTGGGGATTGCATACATCATAAAACTACATCCATCATCGCGTAACCGCCCATAAGAGCACCCACGCGTGCACAAATAAACCCCAGTGTTTTGAATAATAACGAGCTGCTATTTTATTATATTTTTTAATCCATGAGCAGACTTACTTTGGAGACCATCCTCGCCACTTGACCAGATACTCAATCCTTCCCTGTGAACGCAGAGAAACGGATAATGAGCAAAACATTAGGAAGATACTTTACGCAGCAATATCCACACAGCATTGCAAAGTCAGCATAGAGATATTGACGGTAAAATGCACATGTAATCCAATGGAGCAGAGGCAGCCAAAGCGCGCTAGTTTCGTCCCCCTCCTCTCCGTTACAAATGCCCTTCACAGCTCTAGTGACGAACCTTTCTGCTGCGCTTCTTCTCGATGCTCTCCACCGCAAAGACGTGCTCTCCCGCGGCGGGTAGCTCCATCTTCCCCGTAAGAAAGAAACCCACACTTCAAAATAATCCTTAGTGGTATCCGTGTCCCCGTCTCCCGTTTATATTGTACTCCTTTAGGTTTTCCCGGTCTAGAAACCAAGCCTCTCGTACTCTCCTCGAGTTTCCAGCGCACCTCTCCCCTCGCTTTTCCCTCGGAGTCTGCAGGCGAGTTGAGCTGCAGCAGAAAACACTTCATGCAAATCGCAGTGGCAGTGACGTAGAGGGGGCGGTGTCCGGGCGGGGGTAGTTCCCGCTGACGCTTTCAAAGACCGTGAGTTTAAAGACAATCATGACTTATCTGAAAGATAGGGCAATCATGACTTAACACAAAGAAAAACAACATATAAAAAGTTACGTGTTTTAAAATTAAAACGTGATTAAACGAGCTTTTAGTACAACCTCAATTAGACAAAAGTATTTTTTCACTTTGATATCAGTACAAAACAGGAAAACAAAACCAAGTGGGAAGGAAATGATGAAATCTACACCAAATTTCTTATTTTTTTAAGTAGGCCTACTTTAGGTTAATTTCAGTGTTGGCAAAGTTGACTACTAAAATCCAAGTCCAATCAATTTCTCATGCCATAAATCATTTTAGCAAATTATCTTAGATTAAATAACTGAACATATGAGCTACTACTACTACTACTACTACCACTACTACTACTGCTAAAAATAATAGAGGACCATTGTTATTGGTTTCATCTTTCATCATGTTTAACAGAACATAAGCACTACTTAAGTTATTTACAGGTACCATGAAAGACAATTTCCACAGCTACAGACCATAAAGGTGCATTCTGAAACTTTCCTCATGAGGTGTCAGTCACCTGTTAGTCTGTGCTGAGCTATTATTGCTCTATCTGGACTATTCCCTTTTTGGTAGAGATTAAAGCTATCTCAAAGGAGACAACTACAGGCTACATTGTAAGTCAGATCTGTGTAAAGGCAGCCATGTTCACAGAGAGAATTATTGTATTTTTGAGCAAAAGAAACATCCATAACGGAGAATTGATAGATAGTTGTATTTGATGCACCATGGAACATTCCAGTCAAGTCAATAACATCTCCATGGAGACAAGCATGTGACAGAGCCTTCACTGGAAAAGTTGCGAAATGCATCTTTAACCAGGGTCCACTCAGTTTTCATTTACGCACCATATCTTATTTAGACTAAGACAATCACCCAACAAACTACAAGTCACAACCTATTAAATATGTTTCTATTTTAATATGAAACCACACACTTACATCTACCCTCATTTTAAAGTTGAACACTGAGAAATCCGAGTTTGCCCCGTCTCCTGAACGCAACTCCTTCCTCCGATCAAAAAGAGCGATGTCAATGGTGCTGCCTGTGAAAGAGTGGTGAGATTCACGGTACAACACAATCGGCCCGGACCCTCTCTCTCTTCACTCGCGCGCGGCTCTGACGGGCAGCTCGCGGGCCTATGATTCATTGTCGCCACGTTAACAAGTCCACAATGACAACACGCACGGCCACCCTGAAACCAAAACGTGTAAATCCCACGTTTGGACGCAAGCTCGTTATCATGTTATTAGGTTATACGCTTGGAGGGGGGTTTCCAAGGCCAGTAGAAAGACAGTGGTCCGTAGTGTCCGTCTATCAGTGCAAGGGCGTGCGTAATATCCTCTCCACATGCACATATACGTCTTTATGGTGCGCTCTTGAGGTATACGAGGCGATAATGCGGGGTCAGTTTCACCCTTTTGCATTGAATCGCCGCTGTTGTGCGAATCTCAATGAATAGATTTCCATATGTTCTTCGCCAAGGTCAGACAAAGAGGATGACATTTCGGATAGCAGCGTGGAGTGGGGATTTTCAGGTGGATTTGCGCTGCGTTAAAAGAGAGCTCGAGGTTGGATAGGTCAAACATCACACACTGGCACTGTAGGCTTTAGCTCCAGCTGGGTGACTTCTCAAAAGACAGGCTCAGGCCGGATCACTATCACTTGGCAAGGCACTCATGGATAAATCGGGTTAGACTCACGGAGACTGGCACGGAATGGTAGTGTGGGAAGCGAAAAACGTCTGGCCATAGGCTTACTCATGGTGTCAAGACTTGGTAGTGGTTTAGTTCTGGTTAAGTTTTAAAAGATCAAATTTTTCTAGCCTTTACGATATGTCCATGGGTATTCACATTATCATGTATCGTTTAGGATTGACCAGACAACGCCACGATCAGTTTTTAAATACTGATTTTGCCTAGAGTTATTTTGAAGACCTTACACCAATTTGGTCCAGTTTCACTCTAGTCCTGGTCCTGTAGTCCATTATTAGGTACTCACATATGTGTACATCGTCTTATAATATTGCTTAAGGTAAATTCAGTTTGACCTTTAAAATTGTGTAATATTTGTTGATTGATTTTTTTTCTCTTTGGGGTAGATTAAAGGTCGAGTAGGTGAGTTCATGTTAATCCTTTTTCAGGTCTTCAGTCACAAGAGTTTTTTTTTCCCCCCCTCCAGTTAAAACTGAAATTTCCCAAACGTTGTAGCTGGCAAATTTATTTAGATGGCTTGTTTCTCAATCTTCAAATTCTGTAGCCTATTTGCCAGATTTAGTCTCGATTTATTCAGACTCAGATCTTCTGTGTGATCCTGCATTAGTCCTGGATTATAAGGCTTTGGTCTTGTAAACATTTAGCCAATTAATCCCAACCAATGCTGGTTAAACAAAATGTATAAGTCCCAGCAGCTTTAGAATTGTATTTATGGGTGAATTTGGGTTTATTGAGACAGGAGTGTGAGGCACTCAATGGAAAGAAAATAGCGTTAAACTTGTCTATTTATCCCTTCAAGCATTCACTTTCATAATTATTTTCACCCTTTACCCTTTACATTTTTACTGTTTAAAGCCTTTTCTGTGGCTCTAGAGTCAAACCAAGACGCGCAGTGGCTTCGTTTGCTCTCGTTGCATTGTTTCACGCGACGGGACCAAATTAAATTCAGCAGCGCAAGGGTTAAAGCAGGCTCCCGCAGGCTGCTGCTCGGCCTATTGCACAAAGGCACGACTGTCTTTCCTTATAAGGCAGTCCGCGTGAATTCACAGCGGAATATTTCACATGTGGACAGAAAAGCACGCTCCCCGCGCTACATTTGCCTTCTATCACTTTGCATACAGACATTAAAAGTCCAAACATTTCTATCTGTGCCCTTCACTTCTGCCTGGTCTCAGAGCGCGCGCGAGCCAGTGCCACACACGAGCGCTGTCTTTAATTTTCAGCTGCGTCATTCCCAAATTAGACCACGGCGCGCCACAAAGAAGAGGCACGCACGTTCAGCACACACGGCATTTTCAGATTTTAATAGTGTTTGTGTGGGTCTAGACCGGGGGTGGCTTGAGAGCGGTATACCGGACAGGAGTAACCTGCCTTCAGCCGCAGACTCCGACTCCCTCCCTGAAATAAGCAATGATTCGCGGATTATCCTGGATCCGTTTACAGGAGGGCACTGTCCTTTGTACGCACACGCGCGCGCACTGTTGTCTCCACGCGCTGCTTTGAGACGCTGCACGTGCTCCACGAGCGAGAGGAATGTGATGCACGTGCGCGTGATATTAATGGTCACCTCTGAAGTTCACCTGAAGCAACGCGAGTCTTCTCAGAAGATGGACTTTAGACTCAGAGACAGCGGGCTAATCATTTATTATTGTGGCATAATCTGTCAAATCAAATAAAACTCGATTCAAACCCACGCACAGATAACGTGACAAACAGGTCCGATGTGTCCCGAAACTCCACACGTAAAACACCGCTCATCTTCCTTCAATACATTTTCCAGAGCAGCTGTTTTCAAGACAATTCAGAGTCACCCAGAGCTTTATGGAAAAAAAAAAAAAAAAACATTCGATAACGAATTCACGAGATGCAAAACTCACCGAAGTTCACCAAAGATTAAACCAGATTTGAGATTTAAACTGAATCAATTCAGCACCACCAGAGCAACCCCTGCCCAGCCTTATAAAGAGTGGATAAATAAACTCTGCGAACAGAAAGACTTTTTGCTTTAAAATATATGACCTTTTAATCAATTAGCTGTATAATTTCATTCTCAATAAAAATAAAAAATCTGCTGTTTTTGTAATCAATTTTAGCCTCTAAATTCTCAGTAAATTTCCAAGTCTACATGTGTGATCTCCACATTGTATAAACTGGTCAGGGAAATTCAAGTTTTTTACATTCTAATACATTTTATGAAAACCTGAGCATAATAAAACCACTTTTTTACTTTTCATTAACTTCCCATCTTCATTAAATTTGACAAATGACTAAAACATTTAAACAAATAAGACCCATGCTTTCATTTTTGCACTGCACAGACAATGCTCTCTGCCCCACACTAACATATTTTGAAGACAATAAATTCGGCTTGGTTTACTTCTTTTTGTACCTTCACTACTAACTTGGATAAATCTCTCAAACATTCAAATGAACTTAGCCACTGCCTCCAGATTTCCATAGCCTCCATGTTTATAGGAGCACTTGCTTTCTGTTTGGGGGCTGAAGAGAAAGAGGAGCATATAGTGTAGCAGGTGAGGCAGACGTTGATGTGGTTGGACGTCTGGACGCGCTGGCTGCCTTGCTCTTTCCTCTGATGAAGATGACATTTGTACAACTTGCTCTCTCCTGCGTCACTGCACCAACCTGGGGATCGGGTGACAGGCGTGGAAAAACAGGAGGCTAAGCAGACCTGGGGTTACTAAACTGGCTATAGCGACAGAACGAGAGGGAGCAAAATTAATGGGTAACACTGTATAATAACTACACTTTAGCCTTAAAGGTGCACTGTGAAACTTTTCTGGCTAAGGGTCCATCAAATGCTTTTCTTCATGGAGATGTTGTTGCATTGTCTGAAACGTTTCACAGTATGGCATTAAACCTTTCTGTCTTCATGGAGGCCAAATCAGACAAACTTACCGGTTAGATCTGTGGAGAGGCGACCCCACTCACAGTCAGAATGCCTGTTTTTCTAGATAGATACATAGTGAACCTTTAATAAAGCTCGGAGAGAGACTTTATTAATAATTCTTCATTCATTTTTAATTCATGAATAGTTTATTAAGAATGATGCAGTCTTATAACTACTTAAATAATGTGTTAGGAGTGTCATTAATTCAATAAAAAGTAGTTACTAAACCTTAATCATGCTTAATAAACTATATGTTCATTATGAATTATACTTGGCTCATGCTTTAATAAGGTTAAAAAAGGTGTAGTTATAAAGATTTACCCATGAACTTGGGAGGAAAGTAATAAAGTACAATACTTCAGTACAGTTTTTAGGTATCTGTACTTTTCTGTACTTACATTTTACAGTGGATAATTTTTACTTTTACTTCACTACATTTGAGAACTTGTATCTGTGCTTTCTCCTCCACTACATTTTAGGTTTGGACTGAATAGTAAAAAACAATACTTTTTTAATTTCAGTTAATGTCCCAACATTAAGCAAACCAAATACACAAAAACAGCTAGAAAAATGAAGAAATCAGTTGAATCCATTAAAATTAGCTAAGTACTTTATCAAAGTCACTACATTTGATGCTGTAATTATTCTTAAATTCTCTGCAAAATACTTTCACTTTTTGCTCTTAAAGTACATTCTTGAAAGCAGTACTTCATGTACTTTCATGTGATACTTTTATTTGAGTAATCTTTTGCCCCTGTATCTGTACTTTTACTTAAGTAATAAAGTTGAGTACTTCATCCACCACTGCCCATGAATGGACTTGAACTTTCACTTATTTGTTTTCTTTAGTTTATATCATGTCTTAGTTTACCGTAAAGCAATGTGGACATAAATAAAAGGGGCTCGGGGTGTTATATAACTGACAGCTTTACTACGCACAAGATATATCACTCAAAAACATGTGTTCAAATAAATAACCATTATAAAGTTCAGTGTCTTTCATCTCTGCTTTGCATACTGTCACAAATATCTGACATTTTTTTCTTCCTGCTAAATTTGGTTCTCTACATAGAACGAGAGGAAGTCTGCATTCTCAGTACAGCTCTGAGTTGTCAGTACTTGGTCAAAGGTGATTTTTTTGTAGTGACCCTTGTAAAATCAACTCAATCTGCATTGATGAGTTGAGCTGAATTCAGAAAAGTGTTCAGTGAAGTCAAAGAAATGTGTTATGAAGTTAGAACAAGAACTGATTTAACCATATAAAAGTACAGTTAAAAGAAATGTTTTTGTGATCCACTTATTATGTGTTAATATTGGAAAGAAAAAAATATTGACTTACCCGAATTGGTAGGAAACTTTCAAAAATATTACAAAGTGAAAAATAAGAAACATCCTCATTAATATACATTTCAAGCACTTGAGCTAGCCATGGTTTCAACAAGTGTCGTCAGAGAGCTGAGATGAGTCACGCTGGTGTAATTGAAAGAAACAGCTCAGCCTGGTATTGACAGGCATGTAGTGAGACAAAGCAGATAAGCTCTGTAAGAAAAGAGCCCTTTATAAACATCTCATTTAGCCTCAAGAAAGCATGAAGAAAGACTTAATTAATACAAAGGAAATATTCAAACAAATCTCACCAAACTGAATTAAAACAACAGGACTTACTAAACAGTCGCTACAAAGCCCCAAAGAAGCTACTTGGTTATTCGCGCAACACTGGCTGTAAAAGTTTAGTAGGTCCAGTTGTTTTGCTTAAACTTCGTGATAATATTGTGTTTGTGGTTTTCTCAAGACCTTCTACAGTTAATTCAAACACACAGTTTATTAAGGATGATTAAAGCTCATGGTAACTACTTAATACCATAAAGTCTAACCCTAACTCTTTCTACTAAGCCTGAGTCACTGTGGTTTTATCATTATGAATCAAGTCTTTCTTCATGCTTTAATAAGACTAATTAAAGTATAATTTTTGTGGCAAAACATTTATAGGAGTAGGAGCAGTAAGAAAACTTGCCATTGAACTTGAGAACAGTAATTAATCTGAATAACGGCTGGTTAGGTTTGCAGCTTTACTTTCTAATTGGATTCTTTTATTTGGCATTTATTGTGCAAGAGAAAAGAGAGCTGAAAAGAAAATAGTTTTTGCAGCAGAAGAATCCGATTTGCTCTGTGTGTCGGTATATGACAGATGCTGTGAACCTGCCAAAGTGACAAGTTGAGTGTGCAGTGTTCAGGCAGTCACAGTCATTACCTCCCCTTTAGAGGCGCACAAAGGAGCCAGGCTCATACATCTACGCAGCACAATTAGGATCTTCCACAATCTAATGACGAGCCCGAGTTATTTTTATCTAGATCTGGTCACACAGACGTCAATGGGCTCCTATGACTCATTGTGCCAACAAAGTCTGAGAGGTTGTCCCGAGGCTATGTGCATGAAGTAAGAAAGATGGATTAAAATTACGTAAACATGTCAGTCAGTTACAGTGGTGGAACGTAACAAAGTAAATATAGCCAAGTACTGAACGTAAGTATGACTTTTAGGTATCTGTACTTTACATAAGTACATATTACAATGGATACTTTGACTACATTTGAGCTCAGATATCTGTACTTTATACACCACTACATTTACAGGGCTGAAAAGTTAAAGTATTTTTTTTATTGTTGTGTAAGACCTGCTCAAATAGCTCGTAGGTTGAGCAAACTAAAATATACAAATAAAAACTGCTTCAATTGTTTCTGTTGAAATTCAGCACAAATCTGTATCAAAATCACTACTTTTTTAACTTTATTAGACCTAAAAATCTGAGAAGAATACTTTTACTCTTTACATTTTTTAACCAGGTACTTTAATACTTTGACTTGTGATAATTTTTTTATTTATTTTTTTGCTCTGGTATTTGTACTTTTACTTAAGTAACAGAATTGAGTACATCGTCCACCACTGGTCAATTATGAGAGCTACTGAAACATCTTCTAAGTTAAAGGTGCACTATGCAACTCTGTCTGTCATGGATATGCTGCTTTGCCTAGAATGTTCCAGAGTATGGCATTAAACATCTATCTCGCATTTGTTCAGTTATAGATGTTCTTTATTACTCAAAAATACACAAAAATATGCATCTTTATCTCCGCAGATCTGACCAGTAACTTGTCCTGGCAGTATTATATTGATAATACTGATATTGTTTGATATTGATATTGGGTTTTTTGTTTAGTTTTTTTGCCATCTTCATCATTTTGAGATTTGTGGCTCTGAAATTTTACTGAATGTCTCTCCCTACTCATCACCACCATATTATGCTTATTACAGTCACATCAGATAGAACCTATGAACCAATAAAAATCTTTAAAAAGCTTTGCATATTTAAAATCATTGTTCAGTATTATTCCTCTCCCATTGAGTCACCGGATAAGCTTTAGAGCCAGCTCACGTCAACAGTCCATAATTAGGAATATCCAAGCTGTAATAATTAAACAGTAAAAAATACAAAAATCTATCACTTTTTCCTTGGTGCAGTAGTGAGGGAGGGAGCTAGTTTGACCCAGTGCATAATTAAGGGAGTCACTTTAGCCGTTTCACGCTCCGCTCTCAGTATGAGGCTGCCTGGCTGAAACTGTGTGGGTTTTGACAGAAAAAAAAATCTACTATTACCTTTTCCACAGTTACTACTACACAAAGTAAACAAATATATCAGTTCAGCAGAGCACTTTCAAAATAAAAACAAACAGATCTACTTGTCATTGGCCTCTGCTTACGGTGGTGGTGGTGAGATAATCCAACGGGCAGAGCTGCTGAGGAAATATGGCAGCCTATATTCAAAATGACGCTAAAAGTTCCACTGAAGGAAATAACTGATTAAAGTGCTAAGGAAAATGTTTTCTTTCTTTGCCAATAGGGAGACGTTTACCTTGGAGAAATTTAAGGCCAGCAGCAGGAATACAAAATTGGACCTGACAATTCAAAGCTCAACACAGATAACTGGAAAATGTAAGTAGTTAAGGGTGGACATTTGCGGTCTATCAAACATAACTCCCTTTTAAGCTGTTAAATTAGAATTGGCAAATAATAATATATTTTATTGCTCCTGTGTGTAATCTTGTGCTCTTTGGACCTGTGCCACTGCTAGGCCACAGCAGTACAGCACCCGCATTGAGCTATAGTTTCATCATGTCCAGTAATTACGTGCACTATGTCATTTTACCAGTGCCACTTTCTTGTCTCCATAGAGATATTATTGCTTTGCCTATGTATTTTTCATTTATTCAATTATAGGTGTGTATCCTGCTAGAAAATAAGTTAAAAACATGCATTCTTACTGTGAGTGAGGTTACCACTCCATAAATCTGGCCTGTAACTTCACCTGCTGGCATCACCTGCTTAGTTAAAGTTAAAAGCTGTACGTAACATTACAGGCAATGCAACACAATGCATGTTCATGGGAAACAATCTTCCAACAGAAATTTTACACAGTGCACCTTTACGGCTCAGCGCAGATTATTAGCAGATTATAAAATGCCACAGAGATTTTAAAGCACACCTATTTTTTTCTTCTTCTTCTTTCAGCACTGCGTGAGTTGTGCGCTCTGTCTTTTTTAAAATTTGTTGACATAATAATTGCGCTAATCTTAAATTCCTATATATTACGCAAAGTTGACTCTTGTGAGCTTTAATCCATTTAAGAATGTTATTACCCCACCAAAAACATACCTGGAGTTGTGGTTCCTTTCATTCACAGAAGTTTGACTAATCTTTTGTCTACATCTCCAGAGATCAAAATGCTTTGTTCCACCTAGTAATGTCATGAAGCAGTAGTATTGAATTAAACAGCTACCTTTTTCTTCTTGTTCTGTAAAAATAGGAAATTCCAGGGCTGAAATGATCCAAGTGATTCTAGGGAAGAGGTTTGAAAACACAGTGGAGCGCTTCCTGCATTACCACATGACATCACAAGGTGGAACAGATTGTTTCCTGACTGAGAAGATCTGAGCCTAAATATACAAGATTTGTGAGTTGAACATGCTTGAATGAAACAAAACAAATGTTTTTGATGAGGAAAACATTATAACATAGATCAGAAAACAGCATAACATGGTCCCTTTAATGAGGACTTGTTTATGAAAGGTCCTATATAAATAAAACAGATTGGATGGACATCATGAGAATCACTATTACACATACGTAACCTATACGAATGCCAGCTATATAATGACGATGATATTGAAGTTATTTTTATCTCGGTGACGCAGAAGTCTTTGGGATCAGATGACTCACTGTGGGAAATGTCTCGGGGGAGGGTTTGTCCAGGGTCTGTGTACGTCATCACGACAAAAGCACTTAGCATCTCGAGTAGGTTTGTAGAAAAGCAGAACCATCAGATGTGCATACAGCATCAGAGTGAATCAATGCGCTATAAAAGGTGCGTAATTGATGAAAACGACGGTGGTTTATGGACGTCATCGGCAGGTAGCGGTCACGATGAGGGCCAGTGACTCACCACAGCAAGCAGTGACATCAGGTTGAGCTCAGAGCAACTGTAAACAAAAAGCAGGTGGAAAAGTACGCACAAGCTGTTATTCTCCAAAAGCAATGCTTCTTCAAATTATTATTTAGTTGGAAATATCTGATGCAAGTTTTAATAAAAAGTTTAACAGATCTTTTGAGAGAGAGCTGTCGGGAACAAAACTGGGAATTAACACAGATCTAAACTAGAGTCTAGGACTAGAGCAGAAAAAAAAAATAAAAATTACCTAACCAGAACAAGTTTGAACGTGCACCAAAAGAAAATCTGACTTCAAATTTTTATCTATCAGCTCAAGCAGCTAAAACTCTACCTTTTATAATATTGTGTAAGTGTATGAGGGTTAGGGTCATGACTTTGTTTCCATGCGGGTTGTGTTGTGTAGTGTTTGAAGTAATCTGGATGTTTGAACATGCATCAGTGTATTTACAGTTGATTAACTGTTGCCTAGGGATGGGCACATATGGATTTTTTGAACTGATATCCGATATTTGCCCTACCGGTACAGATTTTTAGCTTTTAAAAAAGATGGCAAGACCCACAAACTTCTTTTAAGATGAAGTAAAGACCACAAATAAACTTTTCACTTTTGCAAAAATAATGTAAAAAATTTAATAATTTGTTACTTAATTTGTTTGTGTAAACATGCAATCACATAACTATTTCCATTTTTACTCATAGGCCTGTTCAAAAAGACAACTCTGATGCACTGAGGACAATCTGAGAATACACATGGGGCAGCACCAGAAAAATATTGATATCAGAAACAAATACTGATATTGGCTGACATTATGTAAAAACAAGCTCAACTGATATTGCCCGATACTGATACTAGTCTGAAAATGAGATATCGCCCATCCCTTTTTTATTTTTAGTTTTGCATTATTAATACAACTTTTTTATCTTTTGTTTGAAGCTGATGTGACCATTTTATTGGATGAGTGGAGACCAGCAAAGGTTCTTAGAAACTATTATGATTGCAACTCCTTTAGCAAAAAATAAAAAATAAAAATAAATAAATAAATAAATAAAACAGACAAAAACATACATATTCTTATCCTATGGGCTGTACCTGGATGACTGGCAGACACCTGTCACATAAATATGTGTCTTTGCTATTGCACATTGCACACATGGTGCAGTATTACCAGCATTACAGCACAGCCTTGAGCGTCTTCTCACGATAAACTCACAGGATAATGAGTCTTCATGCATGTAGGAAAGTTGGAGATGTGCCAAGTTTCCTTTCATTTCAGTAAATCAGGCCTGAGAGATGAAGCTACAACAACATCTGACAGAAAATACATGACTCCTTTATTACATAAAATCAGAGCCAGTGAATGACTTTAGCCTTCAATCTAGACTTTATATTTCCTTTCAGTGCTATTGTCTGTGATCTCAGTTTGCCCCTGTTTAATTTAACTGGACATCTGTCACAAGCAATTTATAAAGAATCTGACTAAATGAGGTTTCCCATTTAACATGTTTTATATATGAACAACTTTCCAATTTGTTTTGATTATATTATGTTGATTTAGAATAATCTCCACAGCTGTTGTCAATCCCAAGCCTGGATAATTATAACAAAGTAAAGAACACAGCATGTCAAATGGAAAATTAGTCCTCTGCATTTGACCCATCCCAGGAGCAGTGGGTGCACCACCCAAGAACCCATCTACAGATCCTGAGCTGGGACCATGGTCAGGAGCAGGGGTGGAAGAAGTACTCAATTTTGTTACTCAAATATAAGAACAGATATCAGAGCAAAAACAATACTCATGTAAAAGTAACACCTGAAAACCTACTTGGTAAAAGCATTTAAAATCTGCGCAAAATACTTTCTGAGGTCTTATAAGGCTTCAAATGTAGTCGTTTTGTCCAACAGAAACAACTGAATAACATTTTTTACTAGATGCTTTCATTTGTGTATTTTTGTTTGCTCAAACTACAAATGTTTTAAAAATAAACCCCTCTGCTTTTTCAGCACGTCTTAAACAACAATAATAATACTAATAACAAAAAAAAACATTTACTTTTCAGTCCAGTTAAAAAATGTAGTGGAGTAGAAAGTACAGATACCTATACTATACTTAAGAACAGTACTTTACTACTTTTACTTCCACCAGTACTTTCCACCAGTAGTCGGGAGTACTCAGGGGTACCTTAGCTGAAGGATTAGCCTATATGGTGCACGTTTTAGATTGATAAATGACGCTGGAGTAACTGAAGTAACACATAGCACATGTACACAGTGAGAACTAAACACAAACTAAATCTTTTCACTGAAAGTAAAAATCCAACACAACAAATATAAATATCAAAAACATTGCTATAAATTCTGACCAATACCAAAGTCCAGAAGTAGCGACCTGCGTGACATCACATGACCCGCACTTCCTTATCTTTACCACAACAAACAGTTTTATCAGGTACAGAGGTACAAGACAGATAATACAAGATAAATCATACAAGGCTGATAAAATGTAAAAATATCTTTAACACCTCACGTAACATATGACCTGACACAGCAGCTTGTGTTTATACTTCATACCATATCTAGTGTCATAGCTTTCTCACCCAGATCGATGAGCCGTGTTGTCATTGTCTCATCTGTATTGATTTGTGTTTGTCACAGCTCACAGCCCTGAACACTGCTGTCCCTCTGGTGCAATCATCTCTGGCATTCACTGCTGCTGTTTATCTTTTAGCAGACCAATGTAAACTCACCATTTGCTCAGTATTTATTTAACTGTCCCAAGTTTGAAAAAGGTTTGCTTGACATATTGATGTTAGACATATGTTTTTCCACATATTTCACCACTAAATAAAAAAGAAGGTGATAAATAAATATAAATAAATGTCTGTATTTAACAGACAGTGTGGCTATATGATCTCAAGAATGTACCTTATAAACTTGTTGCTGTTTGGTCTCTGACTAAATATAATGAGTAGTCTGGAGGTAAAATATTATAGATGCACACACACACAGTTTGAACACACTGTCTCATTATTTTATTTTTTCTCACAGCTTCCTACATTTTAAATACATGCAGAAGACATCAGATATACTGAAGCAAGATGATATTATTTAGTAAAAAAAAAAAAAAGTTAAATTCTAAATATTTTTCAACAAAGCAACGGGTGGCTAATTTGAGGATTTGGTTATAAAATATGTTTTTGTTTGCTACATAATTCCATATATCTTACTTCATATATTTGCCGTCTTCAGTATGTATATAAAATGTCGAAAGAAATAAGCATATAGAAAAAATAATAATAAATGAGATGCTGAGTCCAAACTTGACCAGTGTGAATTTTAATTTAATAAGAAAACATACATTACTGACCCCTTCAAAACACAAAACATTTTAATCCAGCTGTCATTTTTTATTGCTTGGGTGTATTGTAAACCAATGTTCTTTTAATTTTAATATGTAATATGCATAAAAACATGATTGGTTACAGCTATTCTTGTCATTGTTTGAATTTCAAGCAGATCTAAACTGGATACACAAACCCTAATCACAAGAGCTAGTAGTAGAACAGAGACATCAGGATTATGCTAATGTGAGGATGATTTACTTTGGTTGGTACTCAAATTCGATAGAAAAATCTTCGAAGGAGAAGGATTCAGACCCTTCAGTGGATCCACTATGCTCTGATAAAACCGATGCAGTTGGCTGGACATACAACAAAAGGGGTAGATTGGCAAAAACAAGTGGAAATTCCTGTTACTAAACAATAAGAGATATAAAAAAAAACCCAAACCCTGCTATAATGTAGGTCAGTGTAATATATGTAATAAGTGTCAGCCAAAATCTGTTTGAGTGAAGTTGTTGTAATTAACTCATGCCAGCCTCTAAAATAATCCATTTAAGTGGTTCAAGATGTGCCAAGTTCTACCCACTGTGTTTAAATATGTTTCCCTCTGAGCTCCCTGAAAGCTTCCCTTAGAGCAGTCCTATGAGAGGAGAAGATAGGAGCCCATTCCTGCAGAGAAGCTTTAGTCGGTGCCTGGAGATAGCGTCAGGGAGGACCACTCACGGTTCTGTCCCCCCCGGGTTCAGTGAATCCATCCAGAGTGACAGAGGAGGGCTGGTGTGTGCGGGGGCCCTGGGCTGTGCTTAGGATGGAGCAGAGAGGGGGATATACAGCAAGCATGAGGTATTAACTGTGCACATGCTTTAAAGTCAGCGCTAGCCAAATAGCCAAACGCAAGTAGATTTTGACTTTGGTTTATCCCTTATGGATGTTCCTTAAAGGGCCCATATTACACTATTTTCTGATGTGTGTTATAATGTTGTTTCCTAATCAAAAACATGCCCGGAATTGTGCTTTGTTTCATTCACACGTTTGACACACAAATCCTGCATATTTAGTTCTTCTCTCAATCAGAAAACACTCAGTTCCACATTGTGATGTCATGTGGTAATAGGAGAAGTTCTCCACTGTGTTTTTACGTACTACTACTACATACACCTTACACAAAAATAATTTGGATCATTTCAGCTCTGGAATTGCCAAACTTAGCAAAAGAAAAGGTGAAAGAGAGCTGTTAACTTGAAAACTACCACTACATTTTGAGCTTTTTGATTATTAATGCAGGTTTACGCAAAGATGTGTGAGTGAAACAAACACAACTCTAAGTATGTTTTTAAGAAGCTAACATTATAACATGGTGTAAAGCTCGCAAGCTCAATTTTACATAATATACGACCTAAAGTTGCAATGGCCATGTATTTTTGTAGGGCGCATTTTTATTTTTTTTTTTTCAAGATCTGAGTAATACACAGTTTGTCAGTATCAGAACCAACACTGTTTATGAGTGAAAACTAAAGAGTCAAAAGAAAATCATAAATCACAAAAGCTTATCTTTATACAAAAATTAATTTCACAATATTGAGTCCAAAACCCTCATCAGCCTGTTTCTCTTTGTGGAAACCATCTGACCTCGCAGCATTAGGATTCATTCGCTCAAAGATAAGCGGGTACTTTTTTAATTTAATCAATAGC